AACTAAGGACTTCAGTGGAACCCCCTATGCAGCCATGAAGCGAGCGGGGGGGGCGTCCGCAGTGGCAGGCGGGGGGCGGGGGGGGGGGGGGGGGGGGGCGCGCGCTGCCTCCTTCTCCCACCTACTCCTCTCCTCCTCTTTCCCTCCCCCTCCTCCGCCTCCTCCTATCCTCCTCCTCCTCCTGCCCCCCTCCCCTTCCTCCCCCTCCTCGCCCTCCTTCCCCTACTCGCCCTGCCCCTCGCCTGAGCGAGTCCGAGTAACAGTGGCGTTCTTAATATAGTCGCCCTGCGTGGTGCCCCTTTACACGGGGCGGCGGATTTTCGTTGCGACGCTCCACCAGCGGGAACGCATCCTTGTCGGCCAGTTCCACGCCCGAATGATGTGCCGATGCGGTTGCCGCGGCGCCCACACTGTGCAAGCTCTGTTTGATAAGATTGCGTTCGACTTTCGAACTGCAGCCCTCGGGGAGTGGCCCAGATTCGACAGCGGGGGGAATCCGTGGCCCCCGACAAGTTGGAGGGCTCGTGTTGCAACCAAGCCGTTGTTTCCATCAAGACACGGCTATGGAAATTGCAGGGTCGCCCTGGTCGAAGTTGCAGCTGACATGGACGAGCTGGGAAAAAGTTCTGCCCTCCCCGATTACAGAAGCAATTATGGGTGCATTGCCTGTTTCCAACACAATAATCTTTTTAGTGATTTGAATGCGCCACTGCGCAAGAGGAAACACCAGTGGCTGATTGACACAGCCGAATCTTCTTTTTCGTTTCACAGCGTTACACACGACACAGTCCAGGTCTTGAGAGACAACTGCAAGGCGCGAAAAAAGAAAGGAGGCATCATTGTGCAACGTCAGATGCGAGCTGCTTTCCCGTCGTTGCGACGTGGCGACCGCATCGAGCCTTCGCTGCCAAAGTACCCCGACGTGTGGCACCTGGAATCCGTCGATACGTACCCTGTCGAGCGTCGGAAATTCCTTGTGTTCAGACGACCCAAAAACAGCATCCTGTTTGTGAGCAGGTTGTTCCGCGTCAGTGGCATCCAAGAGGGGCATCCAGGACTTCGGCTAGAGCATTTCCTATTGGATACTATGCACGTCTGCGAGCTCGGAATGTTGCATTATTACCACGGTGCTACAATCTGGGCTCTGACAGACGCTGGGTTTTTTGGTGATTTCACGGAGGACGATTTTTCACATGTAGACGCTGCCTTGCACGACATGTACATGCATTGGTGGAAGCAGCAGGGTCGCATTCAAAACGACAAGGTCCTTGGTTTGTGCATGAAGGCGTGCGGCGGCAGGGAACACCCATTTCTGAAACTCAAGGCTGGCAAGACACGCTCACTCCTCGGCTTCGTCGTGCATCTCCTGAAGAATGCTGGAGGGCGGGCCCTGTTGGATGGCGCTGCAGATGGCGCAGATGGAACTAAACTTCAAACCTTCGGCGAAGGTATGCTTGAGTTTTATGGTATATGTAAAAGCCAGCCTCGTCGGATGGACGAACCCGCGCTGGCGCGCATGGACGCCGTCGTCAAACGTACGATGGCCGCCTGGGCCGACAGCGGTCGCACCGTCACCATAAAATTTCACGCGTTCGCCAGACATATCGTGGACCAAGCCCGTTTCGCGGGCAACCCAGGTTGGACGCACAACTACGCAGATGAATCTGAAAATTTTCATGCCAGGAAAATGTCAGTGAATGTGAACAGGACCAAGTATACAGAGAACGCCGCCGTCAAATGGTACATGAAGCATTTGCAAAAGTGCCATGCCTGAAAATGCAACAATCGCCACCATCACCACCACCACCGTCAAACTCACCGTCACCAACATCACCCTTGCGGTGCCGTGTCGTGCATCGGATTGCGGTGCCGTGTGCGAATGCCGTGCATCGAATTCCGCTCTGTTTGGGGTCGAAGCGCTGTTTGGGGTCTAGCGCTGTTTGGGGTCCACGCACTGGTTGGGGTCCACGCCCAGTGTGTTTGGGGTTGGAGCAGTGTTTGGGTGCCGCACCCGACCAGGGCTAAAACAACACGCTCAACAGCACAACACCCGTGAATAGAACATTGTGGCTCAAGCTCGTGCACGTTCGACGCCGCACCCGCCGCCCTACCCAACGCTTTCGCCCAAGGCGTTCGCCCGAGGCAGGTGCGATGGTTGCGACTGAATACATTGCGGTGTCGGGTGCGACTACGGGCATGCTGAAGCTCAGCATCTACTTCGAGGAGCTGGCGTGTTTCGGGCCAGTGATTGCGGAGGTCGGTACCAACCTGTCGTGGTCCAGCGGCGTCGAGGTGAAGATGATCAAGGAGAGCATCAAAAAAGACTACTCGGTGTACGCTGACTGGGATGCGGACATCTACATCTACGCGGCTTCTCAAACCCACCCGACCGTGGCGAAGCACCCGCTGTGGGACGAGTACGTTGTCAACCCGTCCGCGTATCGCACGATCAATCTCATCGCATCGAAGAGGTCATTGCTGGACCCTCATGCTGAGAGCATCGTTTCTGGCGTGAGCTGCGAGCCCGTCTGGACGTTCACGGTGAAGATTCAGGAGACGGGCGCGTGGGAGTTCATCAAAGTTCCTAACCCTGTGCTGGCTGGTCGCGGCGACTGCGTGTCGTGTGCCGTCCTGAAGACGCGGCTCGTGACCCAGCTGGCACTGCCGAACGGTTTCCAACTAATCAATGACGTGCGCATCTTCCGCAACGACAGCGGGTTGGCCAAGGGCGACCCCCTGGCGGACGATGATGACGTGTGGAAGAATCTCTGGTACTTCGCCATCGTCGACCCGAAGCTCGAGCCCCTCTGGGAGTACCCCGACCACAGCTCGCCCGACTCTCTGGCCAGGGGCTGGAACGACGTGCAGCCGACCACGGAGGCGACGCTCGAGGACGACCTAGACGGGCCGCAATGATTGCATGTGGTGAATGTTTCCCCAACGGCGTTTTTGCGCCTTTGCGCCACGGCTCTGCCGCGTGCGCCCTTGCCCAATGGGGGGGGCATCATATTTTACAGCACGACAGGTCGGAGGCGGAGGTGAATGCCAATAAAGTAGAAAGGGGATGAGGGATGAGGGATGAGGAGACGAGGAGGGAGAGGAAGAGGAACCATGATGAGGAAGGAGCCAGCCTTTCAGGTGCCGACGGGCCAGTGCCATAGCTCAGGAGCGTGAATCCTGTGTACAGCTGTTTCATCGTTCAGACAGTTGTGGATTCCATGGCTCTTCTCGTCGTCTCATCTCCTCCTCATCCTCCTCCTCCTCCTCCTCATCCTCCTCCTCCTCCTCTTGCCCATCCCCACCCTCTCAATACTATCCCATGGCGCCCAATATCTGAGGCGCCATCGCACCCGTCATCTGCGATGACGTGAGCGATGACGGGTGACCCCGCCCAACTGTCATCCACCCGCGCCCGCGTGATGCGCGGGCTGGCGCGCGTCGGTGCGGGGTCGCCCGTCGTCGCCCACGTCGGTTCGCACATTGCGGGTGCGACGGCGCCAAGTGTAGCGTGTGTCTCACGTGCACGATTGCACCACATAGATTGCACCACATAGATTGCACCACCGAGTACATAACAATATATCCAGATGACGCCGTTTGGGGTCCAGACTGGCTGCAACACAATACGCTCAAGTCTTGGTTGATCTACCCGACGCCCTACGTCGACACCCTACCCGACGCCATACGTCGACGCATGTGGCGCATTCAAACCCTTAACCCTAAACCCTGAACCCTAAGACCCTGGATAAGAACATGCGACTGGCAACTGATGATGATGATGTTAATGCTGATGATGTTGATGATGCTGTTGCTGATGATGCTGGTGATGATGATGACCTTCCAACCTTCTGCGCTACCTTCAAGTGCTTGTATCAGGTTAAAGCGAGTGCCAGAAGAACGCAAAGACATTCTGAGACATCGCTCCTTCTCTCCTGTTCCCGCCGCCATCACAGCCTTCACCCTCATCATCATCAGCATCATCATCCTCATCATCAGCATCATCATCATCAGCATCATCATCAGCATCATCATCACCATTATCACCATTATCACCATCACCACCACCACCATCACCATCACGTCACGATCATCGCCAGTATTGCACCAGAGTGCTTTACTGCTACTGCATCTCTAGGACGCATCTTCTTAATTAGCTGGTCGTTGAGGACCTGTCTGGGGGATGCGGGGAGGAGCGAGGGGTTGAGGAGGTCGCTCGCTCCGCCCCGCATCCCCCAGACAGGTCCTCAACGACCAGCTAATTAAGAAAATGCGTCCTAGAGATGCAGTGCGCAGTAAAGCACTCGAATGCAATACTGGCGATGATCGTGACGTGATGGTGATGGTGATGGTGATGGTGCTGATGATGCTGATGCTGATGCTGATGCTGATGCTGATGCTGATGATGATGATGATGAGGATGATGATGATTGTGATGATGATGATGATGATGATGATGATGATGATGATGATGATGCTGATGATGAGGATGATGATGAGGGTGAAGGCTGTGATGGCGGCGGAAACAAGAGAGAAGGAGCGGTGTCTCAGAATGTCTTTGCGTTTTTCGGGAACTCGCTGGAACCTCAATCAATTCGTTATAACCATTGTAAACCTTACGCAATTCAAGATAACTCAGCGTTTGAGGTAGCGCAAGAGGGTGGAAGGTCAGCACGGAAGGTCTGGAAGAATGAGAGGGAGGGGACTTGGGCCTGCCGGGTCGCGGCCGCACCGCTTCGGCAACCCCAAGATTCGCTGACCCCCCCCCTTCGCTAGCCGGCCCTTGTCGTCGGACTCGAGAGCACGAGGCAACGCACACAATTGGAGGCGGGTTCCGCTTCCGTGCAGAATCTGCGCGCTCCGTCGCCGAATCAGGCGGCATTGGCCTCAGGTTTCGGGGGGGGCTTCCGGGCCGTGGATCGGGCGCCCGCGCGCCAGACCCACGGAACCGTCATTCGTGTTCGCGGGTGCCCGAAGAGGAGGACCCCGTGTGCGGCACCGCGATGCTGATGCTGGACGAGCCTCGCGCTTCGGCCCACTGCGCCCACTGCGCCGCGCCGCTGCTGGCCGCATCGGCCGCGCGCTGCGCCGCAGGGTGCCCTGCGGCGTACTGCGGAGAGGGCTGCCGGCAGGAGGCCCATTGGGCGTACCACGAGGCGCCCGGCAGCCGCAAACATATACAAAGTGGCCTTTGGCCTACACCTTAGGCGATGCTTAAGAAAACCTAAGTTTTCGGCCAGAGTCTCGATTATTCTTAATGTTTCAATGTGAATCCTATGACTTTAATAAAAGTTCTGGGTTTTTCTTCAAATTCTGAGATTATGAATTTCTTAACCCATGTTTTCTTAAGCATTTCGCAGGGTGTACCCCGCCGCGGGCGCTGGGCGCGGCCGGACGCGGCGTGGCCGCGGTGCAGGAGGGAGGCGGGCGGCGGGCGCTTCTGCTTCCAGCGTGCAGCAGATTCGAGGCATCGATGGCGAGGGTGATCGGTACACGCGCACACACACGCACACGCACGCACACACACACACACACACACACACACACACACGCACACACACACACAAACACGCACACACACACAAACACACACACACACGCACACACACACACACACACACACACGCACACATCCTCGCACTCACACACACACACACGCATACACACACACGCACACACACACACACACACACGCACACGCACACAAACACACACACGCACACACACACACACGCGCGACTTCACGTAAGAGGGAGCCTTGGGCCCCCGACCGCCGCACGCGATGTGATGGTGGCGTCTGGCGCGCTTGGAATCGGCCTCCCCGTGGCCCCCCTCAAGCCGCGCGCGCGCACACCAAAGCTTGCTCTTGCCCAGGGCCACGCGTGCGTGTGGCCGGCACACACGTTTCTCAGAGCGTGAATTACCTCCCCCGCTTTCGCTTCCAGGCAAAACCAAGTCATACCACGCGCCTCCTCGTCAACCGGCCTGACCAGTACAAGCTTCAATTTGGCATCGTTTGGTATCTCTTGGAAGCGAGGGTGGTCAAAAGCGAGGCAGGTTTGTTTTCCCCCTAGTTTCTGGAGAAGCCGCAGGGCGTCCGGAGGCCTCGCGGGTGTGCGCGCGCCAGCTGGGCAAGAAAGCGAGGTCACCGGGCCCCCACGGGGCAGCGGTGGGGGGGCAAGGCTGGCTGTTGTTTTATTTTTTTTTTGTTTCTCTTTTTGATATTTGGTTTTAATAGTCATTATTTTTTTTTTATTTTTTTTAATATTGTTTTTTTTCGAATTGGTGATTTTTCTTTTTCTTTTTTTTATTTTACTATTTTGTGGTTTATTTTTTTTTTGTTTTGTTTTGTTCTTTTTTTTTGACTTGAGTTTTTTTGTTGCATTGTTGTTGATATTATTTTGTGGGTCTTATTTGTTGTTTTTTTTTTTTATTTTTGCTTTTTTTGTTCGCAATTAATATTTAATTCCCTTATTATTTATTTTTTTCTTTTTTTGTCTTGTTTTTTGTTTTTATTCGTTTGTTTTCTGTTCTGGCAGCGGACGTGGGGGGGGGGGCAGCAGCGGGGCAGCGGGGGCACACGCATGTGTCTATGTGCATGTATGTTCTCATGCGCACCTCTCCGAGGGAGTGGAGCTCAGAGACGATGAAGTGAAGGCCGCGCCGCGTCCGCAATGTTTCGGGCCGTTTCGCTAGGGACATCTTCGAAGTTCTGAAAATCAGTGGCACCCCTCACGCAGATCGTGACGTTAGGGTTCAAAAACACAGGAATTTCAACATTCTAACATAAAACCTTCAAAAACACAATGTAATTCCAATGATTTTGACATCGATTCTCAAAGAATGGACGGTTCGCCGAAGACATCCTCCGAACATCGAGCCCCGACGTACCTTCTGGTACCCCAGACCCCGCCTTGGGGCCTCCTGGGGGCCTCCTGGAACCTCCTGGGGCCTCCTGGAGCCTCTTGCGGCCTCCATGGACATCCTCGCAACTTCGAGCCCAGACGTACTCTCCTTCGGCCTCCTGGGCCTCCTGGCCGGGCCTCCTGAGGCCTCCATGGACATCCTCGCAACCTCGATCCCAGACGACCCCTCCTGGGGCCTCCTGGAAAATTTTCCGGCATCCTGGTCGGGCCTCCTGAGGCTTGGGGGGTTAGGTGGCGTGGGGTGGGGGGAAGGGGGAGGGGGAAGGAGGGGGCCGTTTCGCTAGGGACATCTTCGAAGTTCTGAAAATCAGTGGCACCCCTCACGCAGATCGTGACGTTAGGGTTCAAAAACACAGGAATTTCAACATTCTAACATAAAACCTTCAAAAACACAATGTAATTCCAATGATTTTGACATCGATTCTCAAAGAATGGACGGTTCGCCGAAGACATCCTCCGAACATCGAGCCCCGACGTACCTTCTGGTACCCCAGACCCCGCCTTGGGGCCTCCTGGGGGCCTCCTGGAACCTCCTGGGGCCTCCTGGAGCCTCTTGCGGCCTCCATGGACATCCTCGCAACTTCGAGCCCAGACGTACTCTCCTTCGGCCTCCTGGGCCTCCTGGCCGGGCCTCCTGAGGCCTCCATGGACATCCTCGCAACCTCGATCCCAGACGACCCCTCCTGGGGCCTCCTGGAAAATTTTCCGGCATCCTGGTCGGGCCTCCTGAGGCTTCCTGGGGTCCCGTGGTACGGACATCGCAAGGTGTGGCAACCCCGCTTGCGCTCGAGTACGACCCCGCTATTGCACTTCACTCCCAGCAGCTGTCCTCCTCCTACTCTTCTCGTCCTTCCCTTTCCCTCCACATCTAGTGAAACAAGTCGGCTGGTGGGAATCCCGCCGTCGAGGTGTCTTCCTGCTCCAAACATCCTTTCAGTTTTTTGCATGGGCCTGGGTGCACACGTGCCACTTGTGTGTATCTCTCTCTCTCTCTCACTCTCTCTCTCCCTCTCCGAGTGAGGGGGCCGAACGGTCATTCAATGTCCATGAGGGCGTGGTTGAAGTGGGATTCCGCGATGCGGATTCTTGTTGTTGTTTGTTGTTGTTGTTTCTTGTTGCTGTTTGGCGTCGTCCCCCCCGCGACCCACCCCGCGACCCACCCGCGACCCACCCCGCGACCCACCCGCGACCAGCCCGCGACACCCCCCCCGCGACCCGCCCGCGACCCCCCCCCTCCCCGCGACACGCCCGCGACCCGCCCGCGACCCACCCGCGACCCACCCGCGACCCACCCGCGACTCACCCGCGACCCGCCCCGTGACCCACCCACATTGCTTTGACGAAAAATCGGCACCTGCGACGGGCCCGTTGTATGATTTGTAAAAATTAGGCGCTTGCGGTGGGCTCCTTTAGAGCCTCGCAGATTGTAGACGTCCCCGCCGCCCCTCTCTTATCCGCAACTGCGGGGTGTTACGTGTATATATATATATATACATACATACATACGTACGTACGTACGTACGTACATACATACACATAATTGCGGACCCGGTCCGGGGGCCCAGGGCCGGGACCCCGACCGCAAATGTGGGGCCCGGCGCGCTGGCCCGCCTCTGGAAGGCCTAGAATCGCCTTGGGGAGCCCTCAGAGAGCAATCCCGGCGGCCCCAGACGGTCTCGAGACACCCCCAAGACGCCGTCCAGGGGTCTCTGGCGCCGTACGATACGTTTTAAACTGCCCCTGAGGCCCCCAAGACGCCCCGAGAGGCCTTCAAGATGCTGCCCAAGAGCGCCCCGAGAGGGCAAAATCGTTGATTTGCATTTTTGTTTCCAATATTTGTTGGGTTTCTCGCTGTTTCGTGTTTCCAGCGCTAAAGCACCGCCCAAGAGGCTCCCAAAACAGTTTCAAGACGGCCCAAGAGGCCCCCAAGAGGGCCCCAAGACAGCCCAAGAGAGCCCCGAGACGGCCCCAGAGCCGCCCAAGACGGCGCAAGAGGGTCCCAAGAAGGCCCCAAGAGGGGCCCAAGAGAGGGAACGCGGATTGAAAACTCAAGCTCTCCGGCCCAAGATGCCCTCAAGTGGCCCCAAGAGGCCCCGGGGAAGCCCCCCAAAGGCCCCACGAGGCCCCCAAGAGGTCGCACGATGCGTTTTAAACTGCTGCGGAGGCTCCCAAGACGACCCAAGAGGCCTTTAAGATGCCGCCCAAGAGCGCCCGGAGAAGGCAAAATCGTTGATTCGCATGTTTGTTCATTGTTTTTTGCATTCTCGCTGTTTCGTGTTTCTGGCGCTAAAGCACCGCCCAAGAGGCTCCCAAAACCGTTTCAAGACGGCCCACGAGGCCCCTAGAAGGGCCCCAAGACGGCCCAAGAGGCCCCCAAGACGGCCCAAGAGCCGCCCAAGACGGCGCAAGAGGGTCCACAGGAGGCCCCAAGAGAGGCCCAAGAGAGGGACCGCGAACTGAAAAATCAAACTTTCCGCCGCAAGATGCCCTCAAGAGGCCCCAAGAGGCCCCGGGGAAGCCCCCAAGGGGCCTCCAAGAGGCCTCAAGAGGCCTCCAAGAGGGCCGCAAGACAGCCCAAGAGAGCCCCGAGACGGCCCCAGAGCCGCCCAAGACTGCGCAAGAGGGTCCCAAGAAGGCCCCAAGAGGGGCCCAAGAGAGGGAGCGTATAGACTTTGGGATACTCCGACTCGTGACTCAGGGCACGGTCCCGGATTACGTGACCAGCAAAGTACGTGACCGGCGACGTGCCTGGCATCATGACCGAACGCGCAGTGTGACCGAATTTGTGACCTAAATTGAAACATCAGATTGGCGTCGAACCCAAAAGTCCGGCCACAAACTTGCGATAGATAGTTTCGGTCACGTTTGGGCACACTCAGGCACAGTTTCGGTCATTACATACACCCCCTTGATAGAGACGAGGCTGCACAATGTGGTTCGCCACGAGAAGTGGGCAACTGGGGGTTCATCATGGCGGCCCCACTCCCCAGCTTTGTCTGACTTCGGTTGGGAAAACCACTCGGAGACATACGACGGGGGGCGTCTATGCTCGACAGGGGTGCGTCCAGATGGTGGTGTAGGCTGGGTGGGGCACGCCTGCCTGGCGAACACGGCGCCTACCCCACGAAGCGCCCACAGGCGGGCACCCGGCGACATCTCGGCACACCCGCCCAGTCCGCCATGCGCCCACGGGCGCCCACCACCCGGGCACCAGCCAAAGATCCCGCACAATCACTTGAAGGGGTCCAAGCACGGCCTCCTGAGTGCAAGCGCTGGTTGGGGGACTTGGGGGCAATCAAGGGTTGGGTTCGTTGGGGCCCCCTTGGGTGGCCTCTGAGCGCCGTCTTGGGACGTCTCGGGGGCCTCTTGGGGCCATCTTGAGGTCATCTCGGGCGTCTGGGAGCGCTCTTGGGGCCGCCTCGGGACTCTCTTCGTTTCGGGGCTCTCTGGGACCGTCGTGTTGGCGCCTCGGGGCCATCTTGGCCTCTCTCTCGCGCTCTTGGCTTTTGGTGAGGTCACGCGGCGGGCCCTAAGAGGCACGCGGGGAAACCCGGGAGCGCGCAGTGGCGCCGCCCAGAACCTCGGCTCTGCGGGCCCGTGAAAGGCGTTTACAATACGGTCGGACCGAGGTATAAGATCGAGGTCGGCTCGGGCAGGGCACCCTAATCAGTCATCTTCGTGTTTGTTGGATGGTTTTCTTGCATCCTGGGGATAGTATCCTCGGATGTTCTGTTTGTTTTGGCTGGCGGAGGGTCTCGTGTTCTTGAGGGATGTTATTCTGGCTTAGGTCCGACGGTTCAAGATTCGACCATGAGCTCTGATGATACCTGAAGGCCTTCCATTTCGTGCCTCGGATTGCAACAAAAACGAAGGATTGCGAAAAAGGATTGCAAAAAAACGAAGGATTGCAAAAAAAAAACGATGTTGTTTTTGCAATCCGGGTTGTTTTGCAATCCTTTGCAATCCTTCGGTTTTTGTTGCAATCCTTCGGTTGTTTTGCAATCCTTCGTTTTTTCTTGCAATCCTTCGTTCAGGTGCGGCGACGGGTGTCTTACCCCACTCCTCGAAGCATCGCAGAGAAAGGGCGCCCTTCCCGGAGGGCACCCCCCACGGCGCGCCGAGAGGTGCTCTGCCCCGCCGCCAACGCCGAGTGGGCCGCGTTCGAGGACCGCGCGCGGAAGGGCTCCGCCGATGGCGGTGACGACGACCCCGACCACGATCGTTAAAGGCTTAACGACTTCTGCCATCCTTCGACTCGCGCTGGGGCGGCCGCGAATTGCTCCAGCTTTCCCTGGAGATCTATGGATTTACCTGGAGTTACCCTGATTTATCTCGACTTACCTGGATGTACCTCGATTTATCTGCATTTACCTGGATCTATCTGGCTCGATCCCCACAAGTCGATCGGCGAAGAGTCGACAAGCCCTTAGGGACACGACCAGAACAACGACGGCGACGACGATGGCAGCACGTTTGCCTCCAGCGAGCACGCGAATTCTGCATTTGGTCACGGCTTCCGTGACCAATGCTTGCCCTCGGTATTGACGTTTGCCTCCTGCACAGAGAATGCCTGCAGTGCCTTTTGGTTGGCCTTCTGTGGTGGTCATGGTGGCGACGATGGCCATGGCGATGGCGAGGGCCGCGCTATAGGACCACGCGCGGGAGTGCTCCAACGAGTATTACGTGCTCGCCGCGCGGGCCTTCGCCTCGCTGCGACACGCCGAGGTGGTCGGGGCCGCCCAGCTGGGGCGGGGAGGAAGGGCAAGCAGCAAGCAAGCGAGCAACATACTGAGTACGAGGTGCACATGGGCGCAAACAGTCGAGCTTGATCAGCAGGCCGAACCTGCCCACTCGAGGGTACCCTTGTGTTCTGTGTGTGTGTGTGTGTGTGTGTCCGGTACCGCGTCCTCCTGCATTCTTGGGGCAATGTGGCCCTCGGAAATTCTTTGTGCCCTCTCGAGCCCTCTCCAATCAAAGCCGACTTCAAGTCAACGCGTGAGTGCGCAACGCGCAGCAGCAGCTACCTATTGGCTAAGCAAGAATGCTACTGGCATCGCTCGGGCGTGTGCACTTTTGCTCGGCGAGCACCATCGAGGAGTATCATAAATCATCGAGGAAAATCAGAGCGTGAATTACCTCCCCCGCTTTCGCTTCCAGACAAAACCAAGTCATACCAGGCGCCTCCTCGTCAGGCGGCCTGACCAGTACAGACCGCAATTTGGCATCGCTTGGTATCTCTTGGAAGCGAGGGTGGTCAAACGCGAGGTAGGTTTGTTTTCCCCTAGAAAAGCACGCGCGCAACCGAACAATGCACGGGGAACGGACGTCCGAGCCATGGCGCGTGCTGAGGACTGGGTAGGGTGGGGGGGGGGGGAGGCGGACCCAGGAGAAGAGGAGGAGGAGGAGGAGGAGGAGGAGAAGAGGAGGAGAAGAGGAGGAGGAGAAGAGGAGGAGGAGGGAGAGGAGGGGGAGGAGGGGGAGAAGGAGGAGGGGGGGGGCACATCTGCTGCGCACAGCTGGTTCCAGACCCGCCCCGGGCGCGGTCCTGGATGCACCTGGCCGCTCTCTGCGAGCAGATGCGCGCTGAGACAACTTGTCGCGTGCTGTGGCCCGCCAGCGCCCTTTCTCGATCCCCTATCTTCACCCGGCATCCTCGATCCTCGAGCCCCCTCCTCGATGGTCGAGCCTCCTGCTCGAGCCTCCTCTCTCGATCCTGCCTTCCCCCCCCCTTCTGGCCCGACCTCCTCGATCCTGCCGTCCTCCCCGAGCCTGCCCCTCTCGACCCTCGAGGCTCCTCTTCGATCCTCCTCGCCCCGGTCCGAGGCGGCGGCGCGCAGCGGGCCCGGGGCGCCCTGGGCGGCGTACGCGGCGCGCCCGTGGTGGGAGACGATGCGGAGGCCGTCGTACGGCTCCAGCTCGGGCTCGAGCTCGGCCGCGGCCAGCAGCCCCGCGGCGGACGGCGAGGACCGCCGTGGCAGCCGCGGCGGCGGCAGGCGGCGCGGCGGCGGTGGCGGCGGACAGCGGCGGAGGCGGCGGCGCGGCGGTGGCGGCGGGCGGCGGCGGCGGCGGAGGCGGCGGCGGCGGCGGCGGCGGCGGATTCGCCCCCAGCTGCTGCCCATCCAAAGACGACTGCTGAATATGCTGCGGCTCGGGCCAGTCTCGGGTGTTACGTATGTGTTGGGAGGGCGGGTGGGAGTGAGCGAGACGGCTTGCGGGCGGAGAGGGGGTCTTGACCCCTCCCCCTATCCCCCCCTCCTGGCCTTTTTCAGCGGCGGTCGCGGGTGGTCGGAGGGCTCTTTTGCGGCCCCTGGGAGGGCCAATTTCTGACACCCCTCACGAGGATCGCGCCCCCCGAGGGGGGGACCTCGATCGGGAGCTTCCCTCTTTTGATCGATAGCCTCGAAGATGGCCCCAAGAGGCGCTCCAGGGCTCCCAAGAGATCCCCAAGAGAGCCCCTAGAGGGCTCCAAGAGGGTCCCAACAGGGCCCCAACAGGCACCCGAGAGTCCCCCAAGAGGCCCCCGAACGGCCCCAGAGAGCCCAAGATGACCTCCAAGATGGCTCGGATAGCCCAAGCTGGCTCAAGATGGCTCCCACGATGCTCCAAACGGCCCCAAGACCGCTCCAAGAGCGCCCACGAGCGCTCCAAGAGAGCCTCAAGAACCGGTGTGCGGGCTCCTGAAGGGGGGAGCTGATTTGGGGCCCCCCCATCCTGCTGTAATCGATGGCCTCCAGGGTGATCCCAAGAAACCTTCCAGGGTTACCAAGAGGGTTCCAAGGGGGCCCAAAACACTTCAGAGAGCACCAGCAGCAGCAGCAGCAACCGCAACAATACTTCCAGATGATTCGAGGAGCCCTCGTCCGCTTCGTCCTCATCCTAGTCCTCGTCCTCCTCGTCCTCATCTGCGTCCTCGTCCTCCTATTCCTCCTCGTCCACCTCCTCCTCCTCCTCCTCCTCCTCCTCCTCCTCCCTCTCCTCTTCTCCTCGCCCCCACGCGGCCCCCAGGGATGGCCAGAAGAGGCCTTCCAAGGCCACACCCCCTTGCTCCCAGAGATCTCTCGGTTCACCCTGGTTACTCGCTCTGTTCCCTAGATGTGTCTCTTCGTCCCTTTTCCCGTCAGCTCTCATGGGCAGGGCTTCTGAATGGGCTGGTGGGGATCGTTTTTGCTGATCGCGAGCGCTGTGGAGGACGCCGGGCGCCGTCAAGGTCGCAGCAAGCAAGCTACGAGCCAATTGCGCCAAGGGGAGGGGCGGGAGCCGAGGAGGGGACGCGGGGGGGGAACAAACAGGAGGCGGGCCACGCTGCCGCTCAGAAGAGGGCGCCGGCTGGTGGGGATACCGGTTTGTTCGCATCCGCAAGCGGACAGCCGCGCGGCGTCGTGGTGTCGCATGAAAACCAAGCCTACAGTGAGCATGACAGATGCCCACACTACATCAGTCTAGCGCGGAAAAAGGCAACTAGAGGCAGCAGCAGGCTGGGCAGGCCGACACCAAGCGCGGACGGCGAACGGACAGCGAAAATGGCCAGGCGACTAATCACAGCTCAGCTCAGAAGCCGAAGATCACGAGCCCGAACACACCGGGGATCTCGACCTCCTCGAAGAGACACGCCGCGTCTCCGTCAAAGCGTAAGCCAATGCGGGAGAACAGCACAGCCGGCGTCAACCACTATACAAGCTGGTGGGGATACTTTTCAGTCAGCGGCCGCGAGCGAGCGCGCCGGCGGCGACTCCAGTCAAAGCGGGGCACGCAACGACGAATAGACCTAAGGCAACGGAGGGAGGCTACACCTACAGCGGCAAGCCGAGCCCTCACGCAGCCGCCCAGCGGCGGACCGGCGGGTGGGGGGACAGCTGAAACGGAGTCGAACTGCCAGCGTGCAAGTATGCAAAGCGTCGGACACCAGGGAGTCGGGACACACGACGACCCGGGCCAGAAGCCGAGATGAATGCACGGCCGCAACCCCGGACAACTGCGTGAGTACCAGGGTGGCCCGAAAGACCGTCGGCCAAAGAATTAAAGCCAGGAGGCGAGAGCGTTGTCAGGCTGCAAATCCCAGGGTGGCCGTAGCCGCATAGTCCCGAGGCAGCAGAGCGCACGAGTGCGGGAAGCAGCGGAGCTGCGACGCAGCCAAAAATGGCGCGGCAGGGTCCTGATAGCCCACCCCGCACAGGAATGTGCGGTTTCGCAACTTGGGGCCACTCGCTGGCCAATCGGCGATGTATCGCCAGTTCCAGGTCGATGTTCCCCCCCTGAGTTGGTCTCCCCTGAATGTTGCCCCTCCGCGAGGGAGAGGTACCCTGGATCGAACTACAGCTGGCACGAGGGTCGACGAAGGATCTTAGCTTTGGAGGGGTACGCTGCTGTTCTTCGTGTGTCGGCTTCCCTCCTTAGAGTGCTCTCAGTTGTATGCATCTGCATGGGGCCTTGGGCTGTTCGCGACGGGGCTCGTGTTCTCGATCTGGGTTCGTGTGGCCACGTCCTGATTGTAGGTCGCCGGCAGGGGCGCGAAGATGATCGCGGTTTGCGCGTCGCGGCCTGGACCTGTGAGCTGCCTTTTTCCAGGGCGGTCCCGCGCGAGCTCGAAGATAGCCCCGCATCGCGGGGCGCGCTCAGGCCTCGGAAAAAAATAGCGAACACTCATGCCACATTGAACTGTCAACGCCTCCCCCTCCCTTCATGTTCAAAGTTGGCGGTGGGTCTGATGACTTGCACCTAGACTGCAGTCTCCCCCGCGCGTGCCAACTTTGAGTTTGGGGGTGCAGGGGCGGTGTTCACTAATTGTTTCCCTCTACCGGCTGCGCGAAGATAGGCGCCTTGGGTCGAAGACGAGCAAAAGGCACAACATGGAGGTCCGCGCACTTGTTTTAGGTCTGGACGGTGGGGGGCCTGCTGCACCTCTGCAAAGCAGTGCATGCGCATGATGTGTACACCCTGTGGCGGCCTGGAGGGGCATTCTTAGCTGGACAGATCACCTCTGTAGAAGAACCCGAAAACAAATTCGGTTCGCGCGGATCTCTTGGATCGGCGCGGGGGCCTCCCTGACAGCCGTCGAGTTCGCGATGAGAGTTGCGTACGTGTCCTTTTATCGAATCGCGAATTGCGGGATGCGGGAATGAGCAGTACTTGCATAAACATGCATGTTTGAGATTCCGCGCGGAATGTTTGGTTCGGCGCGCCTCAATCCCCGCCTCTGCAACACTTCGCGCGCCAGGGATGGGGACCCAAGAAATTGGCGCCATCCTCCGAAAGTGCATTTCGATGCTATTAAAGTGTTTTGCGTTCTCTCTTTCTCTCTCTCTCTCTTATGTCTTTCTCTCTCTCTCTTTTTCTCTTTCTGTCTTTCTCTCACTGCATAAGGAAGAGGTGCCCTGGAGAGGGGCGGGTGGGGGGCCTCGAGTTGTTCTCCCCGTACCCTGAGTGTGGGGTTCTTGGGATGTGTGTCATGCCTCCGCCTCCTGACTCACCCGCCTCTTTCCTCCCCTCTGGTAATCAAACTCACTCATACGCAGACCACCCACACTCAGTCTCACACTACTCACGCTCGTGTTCAGACTGGTTCAGGCATACTCATACCCAGGCCCGCTCATACTCACACGATGTCAGGCCCGCCCATACTCGGACGAACTCATTCAGATTCACCCGTGCTCAGACACACCATCGCCAGCAACTCAGATTCAGACCCACTCACGCTCAGACCACTCACAGCTCCATGATCAGTGCGGATTAGCACGCATGCCACAGAGGCCTCCCAGGGGGGGCCGCCCGGGTTTCTGACACGGGCCTGTCCTCGCCCACACAGCGGGGACGTATCGTGCGAAGCGTGTCCTCCTCCTCCTCCTCCTCCTCCTCCTCCTCCTTCTCCTCCTCCTCCTCCCCCTCCTCCACCTCCTCCTCCTCCTCCTTCTCCTCCTCCTCCTCCTCTTCCTCCTGTCCATCCTCCACCTCCATTCAGGAGACGCTTCTTGTTTTTTGTTCACAGCACCATGATTCCCGCGATGCAGCGGGCATTGCACTGGGGCCACCCAAGCGGGGAGCCGCCACCAGGTATGGCACGCCTCCGCCCGCTTTGGCCCAACAGAGGTGCCCATTTGCACAGCCCTATGATCACCGCGATGTAGCATGCATTACATTTGGGGCTCCCAACAGACAGGCGAGAACTATACGTTTGAATATCGTTGCGTGATTTTTGCTGGGCCTGGGTGGATACCGTAATCGCAGCGATGGCGATCAGGATGGCAGAAATGACGGTGATTGTGGCGATGAGGGCGGCACGGAGTGCGATGGCGATGATTGTGATCGTGATGGATGGTAATCGCGTGTGGAGGATGTTTGTCGGCATCGCCGATTGCGGAATTGTGTGGGTCAACGTCAAAGAAGCCGCGTGGGTCTGGCAGGCGGGTCCCAGTCGATGACCACCGCGATGTAGCTAGCATGGCATTTGAGCCACCGAAGTAGATGTCGGCCAGGGGTGCTTCCCGGGCCAGTTCGCCCTCGGATTGCGAGGATCCCTCACGCGAAAATTGTTCTGTTAGCCCAGTAGACGAATCTTTTCTCAGAGTCCCCTGCTCACCGCGATGTAGTAGGCATCGCACTGGGGCCTCCAAATAGGAAGCCGCCAGGGGGATTTCACGGGCACGTTCGCACCCAGATTGTGGGAACCTCCCAGGCTCACTAGGTGCAGGATTCCCCTACGAATGACCAGGCTTACTCACGCTTCGGTCCATGTGCATTCAAGCCGATTTCATTCCCCTATGCATATTCATTCATACCTAGCCATTCTTTTTCAGACTCCGTCCCACTGAGACAAGCTTACATTCAGGCGTCCAAGAAAGAGCGCGCTGGAACGTTGATGCACATGTTAGGATCCCCGCGTCGAACAACTTCGATGCTATCGGGACGAAGACCAGTGCCTGGGAAAGGCTCCAGTGTCCAGGGCCCGTTTCTGCCAGGAGCCTTTTCTCGGGGGCGTTGAACAGGAGCGGTGATGACTGGGGCTGGGGGGGATCGTGCCCAAGCCCATGATATCTTCCCTGATGTGATAGCCCCCCTCTGTCTATGTCGGGCCCTGGACGCCACCGCCGGAAACCGTTCTCCCCCCCCGTCCTGCCAGGAGGAGGCGGCGTCGGACGAGGCCTCGGACGAGGCCTCCGGCTGCCTGTCCTCGGCGGCGAGCCAAGTGCGGGAAGCGAGAGAGCGAGAGGGGGCAGGCCTCCTCGGCAAGGCGGCCCTCCCAGGAGCCGCCTCGCGTCCTCGGGGAAGGCTCGGGAAAAGCCTCTCGGGTGGCCGCAGACCCTCCGAGCCTTCGGGGGAGGCCCGCTCCTCCTGCCCCTTTCTCTCCCCTCTGGCGCGCCGCCGACCATTCTCAAAGAAGAACATGCGGCATGCAGTCTGGGCGCTGAAGAAGGAGCCCATTTCGGTGTTCCTTGATAGTTTGACGGTTTGCCTCATGTTTTCCGGAGGTCTCCCATGGGAAGTCGAAGTTTGGCTTGTGGGGAAACGGGGCATCGTTCCTCATTCGGGGTTCCTTAAGGTCAACGCCCCGGCTACAGTAAACTGAAACTCTCGACTGCCCTCGCGGATGTACTTCGGATCTGCGCGGGGCGCGCCCTCCCCGGAGGCGCCGCCACGGGGGGGGGCAGGCGCCGATCCGGGAAACCCGCGCGCTTCGTCAAGAGTTTACACGCTTCCCATTGAAAGCAAGTGCGTTTAGAGTGCTTCTGGATTCCCAGATCCCAGTATAGCTTTGGCGCTTTCATACCTCAAGGGCCGAGCCGTTTCCTCCTTCCCTCCTCTTGAGGGGGCGGGCGCAAAAGCCCGCTGTACTTCCAACGCCTTCCTACTTCATGGTTCTACCTATCTCCTCCGACCGACGGGTTTGTTCACGCAGTTTCTTCTTCCTAGGCATCCGCCGCCAGCCCGCGGAGCGACGGAGCCGCCAGCGGCCTTCGGAGGGACGCCAACAACACACCACCGCCAGCCCTGGGCACGCCCATCCTGGGCCCTGGACCGGGCGCACAGAGAGCTCAGGGCCCGAGCCAGGAGGGCCTGTACCGCCCGCCCAGGGCCCAGGATGCGCCTGGCCCGGGCTGGTGACGGCTCATTGCCTGGAGCTCCGGCAGGCTCCCTCGACCGCTTCTTCGCCGCCAGCGTCCGCGCGCAGACGGCCGAGACCGCCGAGCTGCTGCGGCGCGCGCTGGAGGCGGCGGGCCCCGCGGCGGCTGGGGCCTCGGCCGCGCTGGCGGACCCCTGGGGCCTGGGGGGCCCTCGACGCTTCGAGCTTGTACGACCGACGACAGCGAGGACGACGACGAGAGCGACGACGACGACGACGACGACGACGACGACGACGGACGAACGTCGGGGGCCTCGACGCTTCGAGCTTGCACGATCGGGACGGTCGAAGTTGTCCAGGCCTCCCAGGTGGAGTCGGAGTAAACGGGTCGGAGGATCGCGCCGCATCGACGATGCATGGGAGATGCTCAGAGCGTGAATTACCTACCCCGCTTTCGCTTCCAGGCAAAACCAAGTCATACCATCCGCCTCCTCGTCAAGCGGCCTGACCAGTACAGGCCGTAGTTTGGCATCGTTTGGTATCTCTTGGAAGCGAGGGTGGTCAAAAGCGAGGTAGGTTTGATTTCCCCGTAGAGATGGGGCTCGTTGTGGATCCCGGTTTTCTCCACGTCGGCGACGCCGATGCATCACCGTCGGGGGCGGAAAAGAGGGGGGTGATGACTAGGGGGGGGTGGATATCATGGCGGGGGCCATGATATTTCCCCAGATTTCATGGCGCCTCTTCTTATTTCATTACGTCCCTGGCCCCCCCGCTGGGCCGCGCACATGCCGCCGGTCATGATTTGCACCCCCCCCTCTTGGACACCCCCCTCTTTGCCGCTCCCGACACCGACACCGATGAAGCATTGCCAATGCATCGGTGACGCGCCCGCGATGGGGCGCGATCCTCCGACCCCGTCTGCTCGGACCCCATCTGGGAGGCCCCTATAGGAGGGGCTTCGTCGCTTCGGGCTCGTACTATTCGGGAGCCCACAAGGGACGTACGCGCCCAGCTATGTACATGAACACGGCCCCTCGATTCGCGAGACCGGCCGCGTTATACGAACATTTGTGCAGTGCGTGCTCTCGAAACCAGCGTGGATTCATGTACATGTACGTCCTTCTTTCGCTCCTGAACTATCAAAGCGGTCGAAGCAACCAAAAATGCATGTACAGAGTTTGCCCCATCGCGCGGATTTTCCGGATCGGCGCCTGCCCCCCCCCCCCGGCGGAGCCTTCGACGCCGCCCTTGGCGCGCTCCGCGCGCCAGGCAGGGGTTCCCAGCGCAGGTCCACGAAATTCGCGTGGACCTTCAACGGCTTCTGTTTATGCCGTGTTCCCTCTCCCCCTATATAAACGGTGCGGAGCGAACAGAGGGGCCTCGACGACCCGATCTTGCACGACAGAAGTGTGCACCCAGAGGTCCGACGTATTGAAATAAGCATGGCGGAGGTTCTTCGCCGTCCTCGGCTTCTCGAGGCCCTCGACGGGTCCTGGGACTGCCAAGAAACGACACAGGATGAAACCCCCGTCCCCGGGAGTGGGTCGAGACTTGTGGGGACCTCGCGTTGGGAAGGACACAGCATGGACTTCTGGGTGCGAGACGAAGGGTGCGGAGACTGACAGTTGAACCAGACGCGTTGCCGGTGTCGTCGCGTTGTCAATTTGAGATTACATGTCCCTTGCCCAACAGTTGCCGCTGTCAGCTTTTGGACAAGAGTCAATGTTTGGCATCCTGCCAGATTTTCCGTGCCCACCCCGGGCGTGTCAAAAGATGTTCGCGTGGGTGACCATTTTGGGGCCCACCTCACAGATCTGTGGTCTCCAGATGAATTGTAGTTCGATTCAGATTCGGCTCAGAGTCCTTTCAAGTTGATGGACCTTCTACGCAGCATCGACATATGAGTGAATCGGGTGGCTACAGGAAGGTCCCTAGAACGAGTGTCTAGCACGCCGTCTGATCGGCTAGGGAGCCGCAGGGGTTCACTCCGAAGTCGCCCGTGGTGATCAGCCTCTTCGATGAGCTGTGCAGGGAGGGTGTGCCCTCCTCATCTGATGGCGATGGTAATTCGTCCCCAATGTCAAACTACACGCGTGCTTCGTCCGAGGATTGTTGCAATTCGCAGGCCACTTATTCAATTCAGGCTCCACGCTTTCTCCGAGGACGGAAGAGCATGCGCTGATTGGTGCACACAATCAAACCATCGCTGCATTGGTACATGAACTGGATATGTGTCGGACCTCGTATGTTTCTCCTCATCTGTTTGAGTCTGGTGATTGGATCGCGCAGATATCGAATAATGAATCAGACCTTTGCAACCTCGGCTCGCAGCTGGCGCCTGCAATCGAGCGTTCCCTGGACAAACGTCTGCAACCCAAGTTGGACGCTTTCTCCGAGAAGTTCATGGCTGAGGTGGCCGCCGAACACCGCCAGTACGTGGATGCCCTTGTTGGTGACCTCCGCTACAGTGTGAATGACGGGATTGAGGAAATGGGAGTGTCTCTCAAAATTGATCTGACGAGGTCCATGTAATCGTTGAGTAACGGAGTTCTCGACTGTTGCGCGAAATTGAACCAGAATAATCTCGAACATCAGCAGGATACGTTCAATTGTATTATGCAGGAGCACCTGGTCGATTCGGTTTGTGCCGGATTCAAGATTGGGCAATCCGTCGCCGCGATTGGGCTCTCCAGTGTCGAACTGGATGGAAAGAGTGATGTGGCCCGCGGCTATAAAAGGGGGGATCGGCTTCAGGTGCACTTCGCTCACGAGCATGAGGTTAAGCTGACCAAGCCGCTAGGCGACGAGACCTTTTGAGCACGAGTGACACACACACAGTCACACACACGCACACGCACACCGAGCCCTTTTTTTCGAGGAGACGTGAGCCTCGAGAACGCTAGGACTAGGGTTTGCTGACGCATTTTGGCGGGCGCGTCCTGGACTTTGGCGGTCCAGTTTTCGGGAGATGTCTGCAGCTGTAGGTCGCGTCAAATTTGATACGTGGCCCCGCCAGGCCAACCTGAGTCGCCTGAACCCGAGTCTTACGTCTCCCCGATAGAAGCGTCCCGTTCCCAGGATATCTTTCCATGGAGGCCCAAACGGCCTCCAGAGATCGGGTATGAGATCGGTTACATAATCAAGTTACCCCAGAATTGACATGTTCGTTGGATCTGCGAACCACGTATCATGAGCGTACTATACCTTATGATGCGAAGATTCCGTGGCGACTTGTCCAAGTGGTCCAAGTGGGGTTGTCCAGTGGGGTTGTCAGGATCCCCGTTGGGTTGTTCATGGGCCTTGTTCTGGGAGGATCGTCTTGCCGTCATTACTCAGCATGGGTTTTCTGGGTTGTCGGGGGGTTGTCTGGCTATCAGTTCAATTGGATTCGTTTTCATTGAACAGATCAGATGTGCAGGTATCCCACGTAATATTCGCCGAGCAAACAAGATTGGGGTCCCCCGGGCCCGAGTCCTACTTCTCCCCGATCTCTGAGCCGAGCAGACGGCCTGATGGCGTAGGTTCGCAAACATTCTACATATGAGCCGACGGGAGAATTTTGGCGTCCCCCGCGCCCGAGTCTTGCGTCACACCGATCTTTTGGCCGACCAGTCGGCCTGACGTTTGTAGTTTTGCAAACATTATATGTATGATTCGGCGAGAGAGCAACTTAAGGGTTCCCCGAGGCCGACCCGGCTCTTGGCCGACCTGACGGCTTGATTTCTGTAGACCTGCAACTATTCGATGTTTGACTCGACGAGAAAACAATTTTGGGTTCCCCGACCTCGAGTCTAACGTTTTCCCGATTCTTCCGGCGGCGAGCGAGGGGCAACGCGAGAAGGAGAAGGCCTTCTCAGAAGGCGGCTGGACTCCTCAGAAGCCCTCGCGCCTTCTGAGAGGCTTCCTGCGTCTTCGCAGCAGGGCCGCCCCTTCTCGCCCCCCCCCGGGCTCGCCGCCGATGCCTCGCCGACCAAACGGCCCCGTGTGCGCTCCGAGCCCCCTCGCAGGACCACGGGGTGGAGGGCTTCGGCCGCCTGCTGGGCCTTCTGCGCGTCAACGCGCTGTCGCTCCAGGCAACGCCGCAGGAGGCCGGAGGGGGGGGGGGGCAGGGGCCCACATTGGTCAGCTGTTGCTAGAAGTGCCCCGGGTCCAGGGTGCCCCAAGCTTTTCGCTCCATTTTGGGGCCCCTGGGGCCCTCTGGGCCTCGTGAGGGGAGCTCTGGGGGCCATCTGGGCCAGCCCGAGAATCCTGGGGGTACCTTCTGGGCCAAGGGTACTTCTGGCAACACCCGAACTCTTAGGCCTCCTACGGTACAATCGTGTCGTGTCGACCGGCGGCGACCCCGCCAGCGGCGTTCAATTTGGAACGCCGCGGGCGACCCAGAATCGTTCGATGTGGAAAGATTTGGGCGTTTCGGGGACGCCCGATCGTTCAAGGTTGAACGATCCCCGCGGTATCAGGAACCAACGCCCGGGTCGAAACGACACGAACCCACGGTAGATGGGGTCGGGGTGGATGAGGTCGGAGGATCGCGTCGCATCGGCGATGCATCGGCGATGCATCGGCGATGCATCGGCGATGCGGCTCGATGTGCGGCCCAATTTTCTCAACGCCGACGTCACCGATGCATCGCCGATGCACTGGCATTGCATTGGCGATGCGGCGCGATTCTTCGACCCCATCTACTCGGCCTCTACACACGTCGGTACGATGTCGCATGATCGATCACAGATCGGCGGCGATCGAGAGGGGGAAGACGCCCAAGATCGCCTTCAAGACGACCCTGAAACGGCCCAACGGGACTCCAAGGCGGCGCAGAGAGGATCCCAAGACGGCTTGGACGGCGCCACACCTGCCAGAAACGCCGTAAGGCGGTCAGAAAGGCCCCCAAGAAGCCCCCAAAGAGCCCACGAGGCCCAAGGAGGACCCCAGGAAAAGGAGGAGGAGAGGGAGGAGAACGAGGAGGAGGAAAAGGTAGAGGGGGAGGAGGAGAACGAGGAGGAGGAGGAAAAGGAGGAGGAGGAGAAGCAGGAGAAGGAGGAGGAGGAGGGGGAGGAGGAGGTGGACCCCCCCCCCAGAAGGAGGAGGCCTTCTCGGGAGGCGGCGGGGCCTCTCAGAAGGCTTCGCGCCCTCGGGGAGGCTCTCTGTGCCTTCGGGGGAGGCTTAGAAAACTTCTTGGAGGGCATAAAAAACTCTTGGAGGCCTAATAATACTAATATATATATATATATAATATATATATATATATATACTTCTTGGAGGGCCCGGGGACTTCCGAGCCTTCCGAGGAGGCCTTCTTCTTCTCGCTTCCTCCCCAGGCTCGCCGCCGACAGACCCCCTGGCGTTGCGAGACAGCCATTGCGAAGGCTTTTACCTAACAGCGAAGACTGATGGGTTTCGAGTAGTGTCAAAAGAGAGCATCCTGACTCCCCAGGGGGGTCTGGGCGGGTGCCGGGGAGAAGCCGCGGAAGTCGTTTTCAGCAAACAGTTACACACTTCGTGGTCTTCGAGGTCCCAGAACTCCATTCCTGGGCATGATTTTGAATGCCCGGAGCCAATTGTAGGCCACTTCGTGGTCTTCGAATTCCCAGAACTCCATTCCTGGGCATGATTCTGAATGCTCGGAGCCAACTGTAGGCCACTTCGTGGTCTTCGAATTCCCAGCATTCCATTCCTGGGCATGATTTTAAATGCTCGGAGCCAACTGTAGGCCACTTCGTGGTCTTCGAATTCCCAGAACTCCATTCCTGGGCATGATTTTGAATGCTCGGAGCCAACTGTAGGCCACTTCGTGTTCTTCGAATTCCCAAAATTCCATTCCCGGGCCACATTTTGAATGCTGAGGCAGGCTGATGCTGAGGCTGAGGCTGAGGCTGATGCAGGGTGAGGCTGAGGCAGGCTGAGGCCGAGGCCGAGGCTGAAGGCAGACTGATGCTGAGGCTGAAGCAGGCTGAGGCTGAGGCTGAGGCAGGCTGATGCTGCGGCTGAGGCAGGCTGAGATGAGGCAGGCTGAGGCTGAGGCTGAGGCTGAGGCAGGCTGAGGCTGAGGCAGGCTGAGGCTGAGGCCGAGGCTGAAGGCAGTCTGAGGCTGAGGCTGAAGCAGGCTGAGGCTGAGGCTGAGGCAGGCTGAGGCTGAGGCTGAGGCTGAGGCAGGCTGAGGCTGATGCAGGCTGAGGCTGCGGCAGGCTGAGGCCAAGACCGAGGCTGAGGCCGAGGCCGAGGCTGCAGGCAGACTGAGGCTGAGGCTGAAGCAGGCTAAGGCTGAGGCTGAGGCAGGCTGAGGCTGAGGCTGAGGCAGGCTGATGCTGAGGCAGGCTGAGGCTGAGGCTGAGGCTGATGCAGGCTGAGGCTGAGGCAGGCTGAGGCTGAGGCCGAGGCTGAAGGCAGACTGAGGCTGAGGCTGAAGCAGGCTGAGGCTGAGGCTGAGGCAGGCTGAGGCTGAGGCTGAGGCAGGCTGATGCTGAGGCAGGCTGAGGCTGAGGCTGAGGCTGATGCAGGGTGAGGCTGAGGCAGCCTGATGCTGAGGCCGAGGCTGAAGGCAGACTGAGGCTGAGGCTGAAGCAGGCTAAGGCTGAGGCTGAGGCAGGCTGAGGCTGAGGCTGAGGCAGGCTGAGGCTGAGGCAGGCTGAGGCTGAGGCTGAGGCTCATGCGGGCGGAGGCTGAGGCAGGCGGAGGCTGAGGCCGAGGCTGAAGGCAGACTGATGCTGAGGCTGAAGCAGGCTGAGGCTGAGGCCGAGGCAGGCTGAGGCTGAGGCTGAGGCAGGCTGATGCTGATGCAGGCTGAGGCTGCGGCTGAGGCTGATGCAGGCTGAGGCTGCGGCAGGCTGAGGCAGGCCGAGGCTGAGGCTGAGGCCGAGGCTGAAGGCTGAATGAGGCTGAGGCTGAAGCAGGCTGAGGCTGAGACTGAAGCAGGCTGAGGCTGAGGCTGAGGCAGGCTGATGCTGAGTCAGGCTGAGGCTGAGGCTGAGGCTGAGGCTGAGGCAGGCTCAGGCTGAGGCAGGCTGATGCTGAGGCCGAGGCTGAAGGCAGACTGATGCTGAGGCTGAGGCAGGCTGAGGCTGAGGCTGAGGCAGGCTGAGGCTGAGGCTGATTCAGGCTGCTGCTGAGGCAGGCTGAGGCAGAGGCTGAGGCTAGGTTGATGCAGGCTGAGGCTGAGGCAGGCTGAGGCCGAGGCCGACGCCGACGGCAGACTGAGGCTGAGGCTGAGGCAGGCTGAGGCTGAGGCTGAGGCAGGCTGAGGCTGATGCTGAGGCAGGCTGAGGCTGAGGCTGAGGCAGAGGCTGAGGCTGAGGCTGATGCAGGGTGAGGCTGAGGCAGGCTGAGGCTGAGGCCGAGGCTGAAGGCAGACTGATGCCGAGGCTGAAGCAGGCTGAGGCTGATGCTGAGGCAGGCTGAGGCTGAGGCAGGCTGATGCTGAGGCAGGCTGAGGCTGAGGCTGTGACTGCGCTTGCCGTTGCCACTGCGACTGTCATCGCGAATGCGACTACGACTGCGAGAACAGCAGAATTCTACAACTGTATTTTCATCCGAATCTTAATGGGAATGCTTCCAGATATGCTCCTACACATCGCTGTTAGGTTGCTTCGCCGGGATAATTCTGTATTCTCGGCTTCCGGGGGCCCTCACCGGGCCCTGGGACCGTCAGAAGACGACTCGGGGTGAAAAGTCGGTCCTGGGGAACGGGTCGAGACGTTCGGGGTCCACGAATCACGACGTCGAGGGTCTGGGCTCGGTTTGTGTCCGGCTAATTTTTTAAAAGAGATGATGATGATGATTTTCATGATGTATTTCGAGCTGCAGATGAGCTACACAGCTGTTTGGCACAGCAAAGGAACATAAGGAGAAGCGCTAGTCTGACGTATCTAGATGCCCGAACTCGCTCTGCTACCAGATCTGGGTCCGAAAAATACAAAACTATTCTGCTCGATGCGATCTCGAGATGCTCGGGCGACCCGAAGCGGCCCGATGCGTGCACGGCCATGCTGTACCTCCCGGCGCGGCCAGTCCGATGCGATCGCCGCCCCGCGTTTTGGCGCAGACCAGTCTCGCGGCAGATTCTCGGGGGTTGCCGGAATGACCCTGACCTTAATCGGGGGCGGACAGAACCCCCAACAGTGACACGTCGATTAGTGAATTGTCCGTTTTCGGTTCTCGAGAGGGCGCCGCGGCCGTTATTTTCCAGGCTTGCGCCCGCCAGGTTTGGGCCTCAGGTCGTTTTCACTAAACCACGTTTTACTAAAGGGAGGTTTGTCCATCCCTGACTTAAGTGCCTTGGGCGCCGCGTAATGGGGGGGTCATAAATGGGGGGGCGGCGAGCGTGGTCCGAAACGGTACCCAAATGGTACCTAAACGAGCCCCCTGGGGCTCTGGAGGGGCCCGAAAGGGGTACGAAAGGGGACCTTTTCTGACCCCCCCATTTGTGACCCCCCCATTAAGCCACGCCCAAGTGCCCCTGACCCCAGCCTTTGGCTCCAGTTCGGAGCCCCCATGGGGCCATCTGTGCCTCGTGAGGAGTGCTCTGGTGGGCGTGGGGGCCTCCTTGGAAATCCTGGGGGCACCCTGGGCCAGGGGCCCTTCTATCTGGGCCTCCTAGATGTAAGTCGGGCCTGTCCCTCTACAGGAGGAACATCAAAAAGTAGTTAACAAATAATATGGGGACGACATTTTTGGTTAGTGTTAGGCTATTCTTGAATATTGGTCATGTATTTTTGAACTTTTCGTCCAAAATCCCCGTGTAGGGGGACACACCCGACTTAATCCTAGATGGGGTCCGAGTGAGTAGGGTCGGGGGATCGCGCCGCATTGCCGATGCATCGGCGCTGCGGCTCGATGAGGAGCCCGATTTTCTTCGCGCTGGCGTCGCCGGTGCAACGCCGACGTCGGAGATGCATCGCCGAAGCCTCGCCGAAGTATCGCCGATGCCTCGCCGATACGTCGGCAATGCGGTGGCCCCATCTAGGAGGCCCCTAACCTTGGGCCAGGGGCACTTCGAGCAACACCCGAGATTCGGGTTCGATATCTCGCTTCCCAATTCGGAGCCAGCGGGTGCTGGAGGCCGCTGGCGTGGCGGCGGGGGCGTCCGAGGAGGCAGGCACCCCCGCGCCCTGTGTGCGGGGCCTGGCCATGCGCGGGTGTTGCCAGGGGTGTCCAGTGCCCTGAGGCGTCCTTCGGGGGCAACGTTTATGAGGCGGGGGACAGGCTCTGTTCGCAGGCGGATTTCCTTCCCCAACCCCCGAATTCCGCCTAAAAGATTGGCCGCTCAGAAAAAGAGGGGAAGCCTGGGAGACACCCCGAAGGAGCTATTCGGACGCACCCCTGTCTATCGAGGATAGACGCCCCCCCATCGTATATCCCAGGGTTGAGCCCCACATTTCCGGTTCATTCGAAAACCCCACGAAGCCTGGGATAGGGGTCGACAGATCCCTTGTTTCAGCGGGTGGGTTTCGAGGTTCGAGTTAGGACGTTTTCGTCGGTTCGGTTTCTGAGAGGTCCTGCCACCGTGCCAGCCCATCACCCTTGGTGGCGACTGTTCGAGGGGTCACAGCAGGTCGTCACGTGTGACACCTCGTGTCTCCAGACTTGGGAGAACTGCGATGAGGATGATAAAGGGAGATGCTGACGAGGAGGAGGAGGATGAGCATGAAGAAGAGGAGGAGGCGGAGCATGTTGAGGAGGAAGAGGAAGGTCGTCATATATGACATTCTGCATCTTCATTTTTTTACCAGCAAGCATGGAGCTTATTTGGCTCGTTTGGGGGCTGCCTTGGCCTCCTGTGGGGGTTGGCCGTCCTGGGGCCCTGGTAGGCCGTCTTTGATTTCTCTTGAGCCGTCTTTGGGCTCCGTGGGTCGCATGTGGGGTGTCTGGGGGCCGTCGTGGGGCCGTGTTGGGCCGCCGAACGGTCCTCTACGACCGTCTTGGGTCCTTCCAGCGGCCCTCTTGGGTCGTCTCGGACACTTCATGGGTCACCGCTGAGTCCGCTTGGGCCATCTGTGGACCATCTTAGTCTTGGAGGCGTCTGGGCCGTCTTGAGCTGCGGAAGCCAGAACGTGTCAGAATGCGAAAACAATATTACAACCTTACGAAGCTCAGTGAGTTGGCGGTTTCTGCGACCTTGTTCTGGGTCCTCTTGCGTCCATCTTCGGCCTTCTCGAGACATCTTTGGCCGTCTTGAGGTCATCCTTCGCCGCTTTGGGACCATCTTGGGCAACCCTCGAGGCATACTGGATCATGTTGGCCACTTCGGTTGCCTTCCTGGGCCGTCTTGGAAGCTCTGGACGCGGACCCATGTCTGTTTACGAGGTATCGTGGCCTCGGGAGCGTTGATCCATCGCTGTTTCCCAGAGACCGTGGCCTCGGGAGCAGGGGGGATGCGCGCAGCAGTCGGCGATTAGTGACTGGATCGGGGGGTGGGCTTCTCGAGCACAGAGATCCTACCAGACAGCACTTTGCATTCTACCGCGCCTCAGCGTGCCAGGCGATCGGTTTCTTATTCGTTGTTTTGCCGATCGGCGCGGGCCCGCGCACCCCCCCTTTTGGAGTAGATCATGGCTGTTTTGATCGCCTGTTTCGAGCAGGTGGAGTGTCCCCCATAATGGACGCCCTCTTGAAAACAGTCGCACTAAGCAGAGGTCCGGAGCCAGCCCCCCTCCCCCGCCCCTTCCGCCCAATGTCGAATCGCCGAATAAGAGAACGCTGACCAGCGGGGTAAGGCGGCGAAAAGGCGATGTATCACCGATTCGAGGTCGATTTGTCCCCCCCCTACGACTGAGGACCCCCTAACGTTGCCCTTCAGCTCCACACGGCCTCCGAAGCACCTCATCACGAGGCCCAGGGGGCCCCATGGGGGCTCCAAGCGTGGACCGAAAAGCCGGAGACGCCTTGGGTCAGGGGCACCTTTTGTTAGCAACCCCCGACATTCGAGGAGCAAGCAATGATAGGAACTTAACTTCCCGGAGATCCGCGCGGATGTCTTGGCTCGGCGCTGCAGACCCCTGGCGGCGCCTCGGGCGCCGCCCCTGGCGCGGTCCGCGCCAGGAAGGGGAGGGGGTCCGCGCGGACCTTCGAAAGTTCACAGCCAAGACGCTGAAAGAATGAGCAGTTTGGGTACGAAAGGGGCTCGATGTTCCCTGGGTCATCCTGTGGTTGTTTCTCTGGCCCTCCTCGTGCGCTGGCGCTTCCGGAGCGGGCTTCGTTCCGTGTCTACCGTTCCTCAATTCAGCGGCCCGACTCTATGTTACGGTCAGGGTTTGCTTCTCGAGACCTCTACGCCGTGGCCTCCGCGATGAACCACGCAGAGGACCCGAACTGCTACGTGGCGAGCGACCCCGACGAGCCGCGGAGGTGCTACGTGCGGGCTGCGCGGGCCGTCTGCGTGGGCGACGAGCTGTGCATCGACTACCTGGAGGGCTCCCCGTACGGCGGGTCGCAGCGGCGAGACATCAGGGGGCCACAGGCGAACCCTGCCCCTAGCCCCCCGCGATTTCTGATGGGGAGGGTGAGGTTCGCTTCGTACGTGGACCCCACCCTCCCCCTCAGAAATCGTGGGGGATCTGGGGCAGGGAGTTCGCATGTGGCCCCCTAGACATCTTGCTGCACCAGTACGGCATTCCCGTCGGCGGGTAAGGAGTGCAGCGAGCTGCGCTGTTCGGCGGCGCGTCCAGGGGCCCGGAGGTCCGAGGCTCCGAAAAAAGACTGGAGCGGCCGGTGTGGGTAGGTGTTCGGCCTCCATCGGGGGCGGACAGAACCCCCAACAGTGACACGTCGATTAGTGAATTGTCCGTTTTCGGTTTTCGAGAGGGCGCCGTGGCCGTTATTTTCCAGGCTTGCGCCCGCCAGGTCTGGGCCTCAGGTCGTTTTCACTAAACCACGTTTTGCTAAAGGGAGGTCTGTCCATCCCCGACTCCAGGGGCCCTCGCGGGGCCCCGGGACCGTCAGAAAACGTTCGGGGTGAACATTTCGCCTTAGGGAAGTGGTCCAGACCTCCAGGGGCCCACGCATCGAAACAATTGGAGCGGCCGGATGTCTGAGAGGCAGAGGGGGGCAGGCCTTCTCAGCAGGTCTTCTCAGCAGGATTCGAAGGCCTCCAGCCTTCCCAGATGCTGTCTCGCAGTTTTCTCCGAAGCCGCAGCAGAGGGCTTCCCAGAAGGCTGGAGGGCCTCTGAGAAGACCCGCCGCTTTTTGGGGCTTCGCGCAATGGGGGGGCGATAAGGCGGGGGGGGGGGCAGCGAGGGCTGTGCCTTTCTTCCCCCCCATTTGATCACCCCCCCATTGCAGTGGAGACCATGCCAAGAGACACCCTGCTCGCCTCCAGGGCGCCCTCGGTTTTTCTGGATTTCGATGCTTTTGCTATGGAAAGCGTGACGTTCCCACACGAAAAACGGAAGAACATCCTGGGGTCTCAGGGTTGGGTTTCTTGTGGGAGGTCCCTTGTGGACTGGCCTCCACTGTAAGCGACGCCCAATCTCTGGGAAGGGTCCCCTCTCATTTCGGCAACACCCCAACATACTTATACTATATGTGCGTCGCCCCCCCAGGGGCGACGCGCGCACCGAGAAATCTTATAGTATATGCGTCGTGGCGGGCGCTTCTGGCCACACCGCTCGGGAAACGATATACTACAGGATGGGTATACTATATGTTCGGGTCGGACGCGCGCCTCCAAGGCGGACATATAGTATTAGTATGTCTCTGTGCGTCCCATCATTCCCCCCTCGACGCGCCGCAGACCGCGCCTCGGATTTTGACGAGGAGGAGTTTCGTGGGATGTCTGCAGCGGGAGGCCTCGTCAAAATGCAGGCTCGGCCTCGTCACTTTTTTGACGACCTCGTCGTGGATTTCCGAGTCCCCCGTACCCGGGTCTTACGTCTCCCTTGATCATTCCCCCCTCGACGCGCCGCAGACCGCGCACGTGCCTCCCCCCGGGACCCTCTTTACCGCTTGCCCCGGAGGCCGGCGTGTCACCCCCCGAGCAGTTCCCAGCCGTTCTGTGGTGTCGGGTCCTCGCTTTGAAGAGGCAGTGCCCCGCGTCGCCGCCTCCTCCTCCTCCTCCTCCTCCTCCTCCTCCTCCTCCTCCCCCCTCCTCCTCCTCCCCCTCCTCCTCCTCCTCCTCCTCCTCCTCCTCCTCCTCCTCCTCCTCCTCCTCCTCCTCCTCCTCCTCCTCCTCCCCCTCCCCTCCTTCTTTTTCCTCGTCCTCCTCCTCCGCCTCCTCCTTCTTCCCGTCCCTGCCTCTGCCCTCCGCGTGTCAACCACATCGGCGCACCCAGTACAGCGCTTCGTGGCCCCGTATGGAGCTCTGCCCAAGGCCCCAGTGGCCGCGGCCGCATGCGCCCGCGCCACCCAGCGACCCAGCGCAGCCCTTCGTCACCCCATACGGAGCTCCACCGAACGCCCCTTGATTCAGCATTCCATGCATGTCGCCGTAGGACTCCAGAGGGAGTCCTGATAGGACTCTATAGGTGCCGCTATGGGTCGTAGCTCGTTGCGCTATTTGTGGGGGCCCGCTCAGTATCCCAATAGGTCCTTAGAAAAGTCGTGATGTCTCGTAACACGAACCCTCTGGTAATCGCAGGGCGCCCTCGCTTTATCGAATCTGAATCCCAGGTGTTCGTATATGAGTATACTCGAACCTTGTGGGAGTCGCAGGGGTCACGACAGGATCGTAGCAGACACGGCTTGGGAGTAGAACCCAGTATTGGTAGCCCAGCATATCCGCATCGTTTCATAATCCGTTCCAGGTTTCCGCGTTCAGTACACGGACGAGTGGAACGCCAATCTGATTGTTGCGTGTTTGTTTACTTGTCGATTCATCCCCCCCGCCCCAAAACAATTTTTACGCGAAAGCGAAATTAGCTTCAGATCTAGAGGATTCCAAATGTCTTGCGATGTGTCTTGTGGGAGTTAGCAGAGGTCTTCGATTATTCGTAAGGAGCTCTGGAATGGCCCAGTAGGACTAGATGCATCGTACCGAAAATCTGCGGCATGGCGTAAGGATTCCCAGCAGTATCTGACGAAGGGGTGTGCGCGGGGTCTGGTACAATCCCCAACGAAACCTGTAGGGCGTCCTCGTACATCCTGTAGGGCGTTTCTGATGAGATGAGACTCGTTGCGTTCTCATGGGGTCGAGCAGGTATGGTAATACGCCCCAGTATGACTATCAGAGCCATCGAGGGGTCTGAGCAGCTTCCCGTAGGAGTCGTAGCCGCTCGTGAAAGAAGTCTGCAGGAGTCCGGAGGAACCGTACGATGCTCTGGTAGGAATCGGAATGTTTCTATCAGTAATGAGTGTCTTGTAGAATCCAGGGGTGACAAATGGAAGTTCGCCTCCCTCTTGGGCATTCTTGAATTCTTTCCTGGGGGATATCTGGTGTCCTGTGGAGTTACTGGCAGACCTCTGCTCGAACGGTTTCGCACAAGCTTGCCTTGCAAGGCCGTCACGCCGTTGCTCTTCGGCGACAGAAGCATCAGGTTTGCAGGGGGTCTCTTGTCCCCGTGCCAATCGCATTGTTTATGGCCCCGCTGTTGGGTGTCCATGGTAAGCCCTGCCGCGCTGGGTGCAGAGGCGATTCACAAGCCTCAGCGTCGCTTAGACAAGGTTTGAACGGCCTCTGGCATTTGGGTTGCTTAGTGATGCGCTGGGGCGCAAATTGCCGGTCTTCTATTACCGCTCCATGGTTCGCAAAGGGCGTACCGCATTCGTGCCTTGACTGTCTCTTTCGGAATGCGTGGAGGCAGAGTTGCGCCAGCGTTTGGTGCAAGGGGCGTCTCGTGTTCCCACCAGGGCACTCCTCAGCCTCAGCCGTCAGATTAGATGGCGGCAGTGAGATCACTCAAGGCAACAACATGTGTCATCAGGACCTGCACATGTACATCACCACCGCGGGCTGGTTTCTGTCATGGGGGTTGATCGGATGATTGTTTCGGCGGTGGGTTGCAGGGTGCGTCAACTCTCGCGATAATGACATGTCACGTGTGCGGGGTCATTTGGGCACGCGGTTGCATGCGCATGAAAACACCATTCACGTGGTCTATAGAAATCCCGGGTGGGCCCATCGTTTCTATACACCACCACCGCGTTGCCATAGGACGTTGGGGGGCATTGTTTTACGACCGAATGCGGCCGCCACCTTCGCGCATGACCATTTGGCAAGTACTTGCGTTTTGCGAGGGCAGGCAGTGGCACCCCTCTCGGGGCGGTCGCGCGCAAGATTTGTTCCTTCCCTATGGCCGCCTGGTGGTGGTGTATATCATGGGCCCCCCATGCATCCGATCTGTGGCCATTTTCGCTCAAGACGCTACTGGTTCAGCCCGACGCGCTCGCTTGCGCCCATCATGCCCCTGGTCGGAACCTTCGCCCGCCAGGCGCGCTCTTGCTCGCGACGCCGGTGGGCAGCTGCCCCGGCGAGCCCGGAGTGGGGGGGGGTAACCTGCCCCAGTTCCAGCGAGGACGACGTAGCTGGCCTCGCGCAGTTGCGGATGACTTTCAGTCACCAGAAGGTTCGAGCGGAACCTGTTAACGCCCCGAGGGGGGCCGGGGGAGGCGCGGGCACTCGCGATGCGCAGGGCCCGGCGCACGTCCTTCCGTGCCCGAGCCCCGACATCGCGGCCCACAACCCGATGCCGGACTTCCACATCGACCTCGACGCCGCCCCCAGGAGCAGCTGGGGCGCGGTTGCCACCGAGCTGAATGACGCCCACGCGTCGGCGAAGCACATCCCCGACGGCAGCCTCAGGGGAGTGGCGAAAATAACATTTGGGCATTGACGCTGATCTACAGCATCTCTGGCGGGTGCACGAGCGTCGTCGGCAACGACGTGGAGGGGGGCACCGTCGTCCACGGCCGCCTCCTCGACTACGGCATGGACTGCGGCGCGGGGTTTTGGGTGGGGGGGCGACCGCAGCGGCGGCGCGCACGACTAGGGAAAAGGCAATTGCAGCACCAGCATGGGCACCTCAGGCGTCTTGACTGCCACCTGGGGTAGGAAATGGCGCGAGGCAGGAATGCGTGAGCACATGACCCGTGACCTCAATAGCTCCTCGTGCCAGTTCCTCGTCATTCAGGGCGCGGCGCCAGACCTGCTGGATCTTCTGAGGGGGGATCCTGCGCCGAGGGGCTCCGAGCCCGTGGTGACGGGGCGCGAACAGCGCAAATTCATAGGAGCTGCAGGCATGGAAACGGGAAGCGCCATTCCGACCTGCGCAAGAGAATTAGCGGTGACAGGGGCGCGGCTTCCATTGTTCCACCGGACCCAAAATGGAACATATTCCGCCACTGAAAAGAGCAACGCGAAGCCGAGGCATACGAAGATCGCTGCAATCAGGATAATGCTCGCATCCGCTAAGACGCGGCCATGGAATGCCCGCGGTGGCGGGGGGGGGCGGCGATGCCGACCTGGGCGCAGGTGAGTTCCGTCTGGCAACGTGCGCGTGAACTTCAGGGCGGCGAAGCGCGACCGTCGCGGCGGTGGAGAGGCGCGCAAACGTTTCTGGGATTGTCTCGCGCTGTCCCTGGCCGAGCTTCGCCCTCCAATCCTCTGCGGGGACTCCGACGTGGCGCTCTTCTGCGCGGTGCCTGAGCTACGGGCCCAAGGCTTTCAGATCATCCTGGCAGCGTGGCACTGCTGGAAG